ATGGAATCGGTACATTATACTATGAACCTGCAGGGATGAGGTAGAGTTGACGCGCTAAATGCGATTGCATTAGTAGATTTCGAATCAAGTCCATGGCGAGAACAACGTACACTCCAGATTCCTCCGAGGCCTTTATCTTTGGGACGGGCTTCAAATAATTGCACATCGAATCCATGGCCAATGCAGTGCGCCGCAGACGATACGCCAGTCAAGCCGGCACCAATGACAGCCACTCTTTTCTTAGGAAGACCGTTGGCAGTTGATGCTGGAGGCGGAGGCGCAGGAGAGAAAACCCAAATGAGGATACTCTGGAACAGCATATAGAATAGACTGAATACCATGAGGAAAGGATGTGTGAAAAAGTCCACAACGGTGGACTTGGATTTTGATTGAGCCATAGAAGATGAACACTCAGTTGAACCCTAGAAGGAAAATCGCGACCTTGTCTGTATGACAGACAAATTATAGCGAAGGTCAATACCTAATTGCCCAGGTGAACGATGGCACGGGGAACCTCAGATAAGAGAAAGTATGAAAAGCAGAGGTAATATTGAAAGAATTGTTTACAAGAAGGAAAATAAGCAGGGAATCAGGCTTCTTTTCAACTGTATCTGAGATAGGTCCTGCCCTGGCCTGCTCTGAAGTTGGTGGTGGTGTGGTCAAGCATGACGTAGATGAGTGGACCACATTCATGTGAAAGTGGACGAGGGAAAGAAATGTTTGCTGCTTCCCTGTGATTGTCCTCGTCCTACGACGCCGGCATCATCATTTCGCAAGATATTGCATGGGTGCGTTATTTTTCTCAAGTTTGACAGCATTTCGAAGATACTCACCCGAGGTAGGCAAACAATGGCCATCTATCTCACTGCGCAGAGCGGACGACTCGCTATTATACGAGTTCACAATTCACCAGATCACTCATATCATCATAGCACCCAAGCACCCAGCTCAATGACCCAAGGCTCATTTCTTACTACAGAAATGCACGTCCTGAGGTGAAATTTTGGAAATATGGCAAGCAATAGGACTTTGGTGAGCCTCGCTTCGAAAGAGCAGGCATCAGATTCCTATATTTCAAAATTCTTGCCCAGGGAGACATGTGATTAAACAGGTTGTGTAAATGGTCGAGACCCAACGCTCTGTGGGTTATAGAATCATTCTGTAAGGTAGCAAACCTGGTAGCGCCATACGCTTGATGATAAGGTAGTGGTTTTGTGATCTCCAGGGGTGATTTCCTAAGATCCAGCGCCAACGCTGGAGGTGATTGGTAGCATATCCTCCGTAGTTTAAGCTTCCCTCAAGGTACCTTTCTTTATTGGTTCTCCGTACTGATGTAATAAAGCCTTTCAGGCGCACAAAATATATAGGATAAACATCATCTGACCCTCTTTTCTTAGCTACAGAGTACCTTGGAATAATGTTATTTCTGTCAAAACGGATAGAATTGATGTATTCCAACACCTCTGCACCATTCCCAAAGCGGATCGAAAGTGTAAACATCGTAACCAAAAAAGTGCCTCTCCAAACAGCAGCAGACGAAATACTCGTTTGTATTCTCTGCACCTGTCAATTGCCGCTGATGTGGCTCTCGTTTGGCTTCAGTGTCGACAGCTGTATCAACTGTGTGACATGCTCTAACCCGACTAATACCCCCGGATGAAGCTACGAGAGACCTTGGATGTCGGAGTAGTCTTCAAGATGTTGTGCTCGATTCTGAAACGCCCATAATCGGCTCGTACGTTCGCTATCTTAAGCTGAATTGATCGCCATCCTTGTAATAGGGGTATGTGCAGTACTATGAACGAAGACCACTTCAAAATGCAAGAATTGGTGCGAAAAAACGCGCGACATGAGGACGAATCAGTGTGGATCTTGAAGTCCAATATACACTTGACCGTCACCTATCCTTCTGCGCTCTGCCTGATAGTCGTCGCTGTAACTAGAACTGCTGCTCCCGAGTACAGCGATTATTGTAGCCCAATGACAAGTTATTGTATAAGTTACGAATTGTATATTGTATATTGTGTGATGGAGCCTTGAACTTTCTAATCTGTACCTGCCCTTCTAGTTTAGCGTATCATGGATGTAACCCAGGCTGTTTGGGTTTACTGTAGCCGTCACGCCCTATATAGCCAGTTAAATTATCCCCTTCTAGTTTTCCGAAGAGCGGAGGGTGATATTTAGGATCTGTATAGGTGTAGCAGGTATCAGTTGATGATAACCTTGGGGTGGTGTCGTATCACAAAACAAAGAGTACCTAAAGCTAACCACAAAAGGCATCGGTTGGCGGTCAGTTATCGTCTCTTCCGCCCGCCACAAAGAGCTTAACATTCGGAGCTTCTTCCGCTTCTTTCGCGGTTGTCGTCTGTGTCCACGGAGACACGCCCAACCACATGCTTCGCGCTGCCTACGATCTCAATTAATTCTCTGTATAATGAGAACTGCTCTTATCCATAATTATTTACTCCTCACAGTTCGTACGACCACAGAGCTCCCCATGACCGCCAACAACTCGAAACTACCCACCACCTTTCCGACGTAAACTATTCCTCCGATTGCTGCTTCTCAGACTGCGCGACTACCCAAGATGGCGGGCCAGGGCACTCCTGTGTTGGATCGCTTCCTAGCAGGAATTACCGATCTCGTGAAAGAGCGCGATGGAGTCAAGCTCCAGGATTTCTTGCAGATCGAACCTCCTCTCCCTGACCTGTACCGACAGATGGTGAATGAGCTGCGGCAACAGTATCCCAGCGGATCGCCAAAAGAAGCAAACCTGTTACAACGATGCGAAGGGGTAGTGCCACGTACGAAAGGAGCTAGCTCGTGGGCGGCTTTCTCTACATTCATGAAGCTATATTTTAGCTTCCTTCGCGATGTTAATGTCGACAACCTCCTCGAGACATATAACCTGCTCAAGGGACTTCTCAAGTAAGTCGCGGCCGTCTATTTTTCGGGCCCTGACCGATATTTCCAATTTTGTAACGCGATGACTGATTCGTACCTCTCTGAACCAAACAGCCAGTGCGTCATCGCTCTCGGCGACAGTCAAATGGGTGTTATAGTGCTGCCGACCGTCCTCTACTTGTCCAAAGTCCTTGCAAAGTTAGCAATGGGTCTAGACCGTCGGCCAGAATTGATTGCACACTTGTTGAGGCAGGAGGGTAGTTCGAACCAGGAAGAGAGTGTCGAGAAAGTCACCCTTGTGGAGCGGTCTGCAAACGTTGTCCGTGAAGCCTTCATCAAGTGCCTTACGGATCGTAGCGGCACCCCAGGGATTCATGGAAAGCCTGAGGGCAAGCGAGTGGGCATCTATCTTATGGCCAATCTGTGCTTGAAACTACTCTTTCAGGTATGCATTGATCCTCACCATACCGTTCATCGTTATGAATTACGAATCAACTGAAACAATCATACAGTGCGGCAAGCTGCGAAACGCGGAACAAATGTTCGCCAGCATTAGTGCCCAGTCACCGCCTCTGAAATACTTCCCGGCATCTCAGCGAGTCACTTATCTTTACTACCTCGGGCGATATTTGTTCTCCAACAACCTCTTCTATCCTGCGCAGATCGCGTTGCAAGCTGCCTACGACCAGTGCCACCGCCAGGCTGTCAGTCAGAAGCGCATGATTCTCACGTACCTTATCCCATGCAACATCATCATGGGCCGCTTCCCTTCACTGCAACTCTTGCAAAAACCAGAATGCGAAGGACTTGCTGAGCGGTTCATCCCGATTTGCCAATTAATCGTTCGTGGGGATTACATTGCCTTCCGAGAGCATCTGGCAGTAGACTCACCAACAACTGAATGGTATGCAAGGCGAGGCATCTTGCTTCCTTTGCGGAATCGATGCGAGATTCTAGTATGGCGGTCATTAGCACGTAAGGTGTTTATTCATGCTGGCTTCCATGGGGACCCTCAAGGGCAATCCCAGCGCGGACCACCGCCCTATCTTTACTTAAGCAAACTGGAAACCGCTGTGCGATGGCTGCAATCGCAACATACTCAGGCATCTCTCGGAGCTATCGGAGTTATACAACCCAGCAGGGCGCTGGACGCAAAGGCTGGTAGCAATAGCTCCGGGTCACAGATCATCTTCAAGATATTGGATCCCGACTTTACCGGAGTGAGTGGCGTGGACGGGGGTGAGCTGGAGTCTGCCGCTACTTTGCAGTCCAAGTACGGGGATTATCTTGCTCCGGACGGTTACTTTGATGCTCTGGGTCAATGGCACGACAATCCGGCGGGCGCCTTAATCGATGGCGAAATAGATGCAGACTACAGTCAATTTGAGCTTGATCCGTACGCTCACCGTCTGGATCAAGGGCACGAAAAGCCAACACCTATGATGCGCGAGCTCGAGTCCATTCTTGCATCGCTCCTAACTCAAGGTCTCATGCGCGGATACCTTACGCACAGGAATCCTCGGCTTGCGATTCCTGGTGCACGCCTTCGTGGTGCCTTGCCTACTGGCTTTCCAAATGTCTGGCAAACCATCTCTGGACGGGAAGGAGAAGATGATAGTGTGCCTGGATGGGTGCAGCCCCCATCGGCGATGGCATCTCAGTTTGCTGCCGCTGCTGCCGCTGCTGCCGGTGGTGGCGGAAGAGTCGTAAACTTGTCCGGTGCGCGCCCAGTTGGAGTTCAATAATACTTTGATAAGGATGGCTACGAGAAACACCTAATAACGAGCCGAAACACCGCGAGAATTGCCGCTGAGCACAGGTTGCGCGGTCGACGTGATAGCCTCTGTGGAAAGGGTCAAATGATCCTATGTGCGTTGCGCCTGCATTCGAAGATCATTATATTTTAGGAAACTTGCATTGTTTGAAACAATCGGCCGCGGAATGCGACTGCTGCTGACCTGCCCTGTGTTAAGTCGAGCCACTACGGAGTAATTCGGTAGCCTAGTTGGTGTGGGTACAGGCTAGGACAAGGTTGTATTCCTCGACGTCACAACCCGCCCTCCGCCGATTCCTGCAAAGCCCCTACGCATCACAACATGGACGATCACAACAAGGCCGTGGCGACCATTGCAGGTCAGGTCAAAAAATTCCACAGTCGCCAACAACCTTTTCGCATCTATCATGGCTCGACGAATAGCACACGGCAGTCTCAGCATGACCACAACAACACCATCAACACTGCACATCTAAATCATGTTATACGCACCGATTGCGAAGCTCAAACCGTGCTGGTCGAACCCAATGTTCCCATGGACCATCTTGTCCAGGCCACTCTGGCTGCTGGCCTGGTCCCTCTCGTCGTGATGGAGTTTCCAGGTATCACGGTCGGGGGAGGATTTTCCGGGACATCCGGCGAAAGCAGCTCTTTTCGGCACGGCTTCTTTGATGCCACTGTAAATTGGATTGAGATAGTCCTGCCGAACGGTGAAGTACGGATTGCGTCGAAAAATACGGATCCCGATCTCTTCTGGGGCGCTGCGTCGGCATTCGGCACTCTGGGTGTCGTCACATTGCTCGAGGTACAGTGTCAACAGGCTAAACCTTGTGTCGAGCTGAAGTACCAGTCCTCGTCGTGCATGGCTCAAGCCATGGACATCTTCCGCACTGCGGCTGCGGATCCGCAGATCGATTACCTCGACGGGATCGTCTTCGCCAGGGATCAGATTGTCGTTTGTACAGGACGACTGACCGATGCTTTGCCCGCAAATGTCAAACCACAACGTTTCACCGGTGCTCGGGATCCGTGGTTTTATCTTCATGCACAAAAACGTGCCAACTCATGTTCAAGAAAACCAGACTACATCCCCTTGACAGACTACCTTTTTCGCTATGATCGGGGCGGGTTCTGGGTTGCTCGGTACGCCTATTCGTACTTCCTAGTTCCATTCAACCGCATCACACGCTACATTCTGGACTATTTCATGCATACGCGGGTGATGTACCACGCTCTGCACGAGAGCGGACACTCCGAGCGGTACATCATCCAAGATGTGGCTGTGCCATACGCTGCGACAACCGAGTTCCTTGACTGGCTCGACCAGAAACAGAACTTTGGTGCATACCCGATCTGGCTGTGCCCTCTGCGGCAATCAGAGGGCCTGATGTCACGTACTGATTCAAACAGTGCAGCCCTACCATCTACCAGTGTAGAGGACGACGGGTACCTCATGAACTTTGGTCTGTGGGCTCCGTCTCCCTTCCACAGCAACACCGCCGAGTTCATCGCCCAGAACCGCCGGCTGGAGGGCAAAGTGCGCGAACTGGGCGGAAAGAAGTGGTTATATGCGCATGCGTACTACACCGAAGATGAGTTCTGGTCTCTATACGATAAGAGGAAATACGACCAGCTGAGGGAGAGATATCATGCGTCTTATCTGCCGGATTTGTATCAGAAGGTTCGGGTTAGACTTGCGCCTGAGGATGGTAAAGGTCAAGTGGGGTGGGGATCTATCCGAGATATTGTGTGGAACCTCTGGCCTGTGAGTGGGTTGTATGGTGTCTACAAAGCCTGGAGGGGAGGGGATTACCTGCTCAAGGCGAAGCAAAAGGGTAAGACTGCGAGTCATTGAGCAGTGGCTGCTACGTATCATGTTCTCATGTGATGATCGCACATGAATACGGGCAATGGGGGATGGAATAGATATGATATAAATGAACGAGTGCCAAATGCCAAGTATATATCATCCATTGCTCATATATCGTAAGTCGTAGTCTATTGTGCGTAGATAAGAAGTAGTCATTGCTCGCAGAGCTAAGAAGACAAAGCACCCAAACCAATCCAACTGCAACTCAGGTATCCAGCGACCACCCGGTCGGTAACTACCTACTTCTCGATAACAATGCGTCCCTCAAGTCTGGGCGCAATGCCGGGGGTCCACGCCGGCGTGAACTCCTGAGCATCATCGGCCGTGTTGAGCGTCGTGGGCTCGAAGCCAGCGGCCCGCATCCATTTCCGGACCGCCCGGCGCGCAAGCCGCAGCCGATGCTCTTCCTCGGCGGCGGAGCGGGCAGGCTGGGTGACGTAGTTCGTGGTCGGTTGCGGGGAGGTCAAGATCTCCGGGTCCGAATCCGAGTCCGAGTCCATGCTTGTGCCCTCCTCGTCCTCGCGGCCCTTGGCAGTCCCGTTGGCTTCGAGTTTGGCGAACCGGCCGTAGTAATAGTGCTTCGTGCGTTTCAAATTCGGTCGCGAGGGCAAAGGCCAGCTGGGCACCTTCTCGGCGACCGGGGAGGGTTGCGCGGAGGCGGGTTTCAGCCAGCCCTCGCAGTGGAGGTTCTGGTGGACTTGTGCCCAATGCCGTGATAGACTCTTGCTCCAGCGTTGCCACTTGCCCAGGATCCGGAGGCTGAGGAAGTACTGGCGGAGGATGGTGCTGATCATCACGCCGTTCTCTTCGTCGACGATCTCTTCCACGTCGCCTCCAGCTGACTGCACGAGGAGGGACGTGAACCCGTCCTTTCCGCGCGCCATGTAGCCCCTCGTGGCCAGAACGTAGCTCCGATCGAACTCGATCGACTCTCCGCCTACCTTGGCCCAGTTGAGGCGCGAGCCCGGGGGCGCAGACGGGTTGTAGCTAAAGGAGATGTTGGATACCTGTGGGAAACGGCCCTCGAGGGCGGGAAGCTGGCTCACTCCGTTTTCTAGAGCGCCCATAAGCGCGGAGCCCTTGATACGGAGCAAAACCACCGGGTCCTCGAAGGGGAAGCAGTTTAGCAGATCCTTGAGTCGTAGCACACCGGGTGGGTAGATCTGGTCACCGCGGATGGTCCCGCCGGCCATCATCGCGCAGTCGGCGGCATAGTAAAATCGCATCAGATCGCAGACGAAGTTGCCGAGATTGGACTCTTTCTGACGAACCGTGGAGAAGCGGCCGTCAAGGGGACGAACAGTGTATCCAATCGGTTTTTCCAACTTCGCCTTGAGACTCGAGGTCAGCCGACCGACTAGGGCTACGGTGGCCGGATCTTCAGGGATCGTTCGAACTATATCGCGACGGACGATATCGAAGTCCCAGCCCGATCCATCTGTCTTGCGCCACGCCTCGATATAGCTCAGCTGTTTGAAGTCGGTGCCGGATCGCAAGATATGGGTGTTGTTGATCACCGCATGTCCATAGAAATGATCATGCCCTCCTAAAATGAGATCTATCGTGCCAGGGGGCAGGTTCTGCGCCAGTTTATAATCATTCGGTTCTCGTTGATGGGTGACGGCTACGATAATATCCGCGCCCTGTTGACGCAGTTTCGGGGCAAGCTCTAACGCGGTTTTCGAGGCGGATTTATAGATCAGGTCCGGAGGGAGGGAGTTGATGGTTCCTAGCCTTAGGATTGTCAATTCATCCGCCGACGCCATATGCAATGTCAATAACCTACCATTCCCGCTCTCCCAGCCCAATAACGCCGACCTTGAGTCCGTTCGACGATGTCAGCATGGCCACCTTCTCGCAGTTGGCGATCGAGACGTCTGGCCCCAGCGCCGGGTCTAGAACATTGGCAAGCAACCAGGGAAACCTGCACTGGCTGCGCAAATGACGAAACTGTGCGACACCGAAATCGAGATCGTGATTCTGTCCAACACGCCAGCGAGTTAGCGACATTCCTGGTCTTGATAATCTCCTTGTGAATGTTCACGTACCCCAACACAAGCTACATCCGTCCCTGCTTTGTTTAGGAACGGTACCATATGTCGCCCTTTGGTGACTGTGCTCTCGAGACTGGGGTTAAAGGCATCGCCGGAGAAGAAGGTCAGGACGTCGGGAAGTCCGGTAAACCGCGGGTGAGAGCGATAGTAGTTGACCACAGATTGAAATCGGGAGACACCGCCAACGGGTTCAGCGGAACCAGCTCTGGAACACGGTCAGTCATCGTCGAGATAAGCTGTCGGTGAGGGGTCAAGCGTACTCCACGTGGTACACATCGTTGTAGTGAATCAGACGCAAATCAGGCGTGCCTGTTCTGTTGGAGGAGTGCGTGATGGTGAGGCCATCTAGTTCGACTGGAGTCATCATTTATAGGATATAGCAATGTCAAGCAGGAGAGGCGGAGAGAAGCAAGAGTGAAGGAGGATCAGACAGCTGAATGAGCTCAAAGGCGATACGCTGGCATGTGCTGCCTGAGGCATCGCGGCTGCAAGGCACCATGTTGCCACCACCAATTACAACAGCCGGATCCGCGCGGGATTAATGGGGTTCGTCGGTGGAAACTCCGTAGTGCGATCTGCAGAGTAAACAAATGACGTACTACACGAGCTTGATATAGACAGACACCGAGGATCGAAGTCAAATATATTGGTATAGTGAGCAAAGACTGACTATGGCATCGATGGAAGTGGTGATGGCCATCGGTTTTGTACAGCTTTATGAATGGGGAGTATTACATGATTGATGTCATCGTCCAGGAGGAGAGTCACATGCAGTTGTAGACCGAGATTCCTGAACGCCTCGCCTTATAAAAATCAACACATAAGCACGTAAATATTAACAAACCAACATCCCAAGGTATCCTGATAAAAATTCAAAGCATGAAAAGTAAAACCAAAGATTAGAGTCGAAATAAAGCCGGCTATATCCTTCTTTCAGTCACTGTCCAACGTCTTCTGGTAGCCGCTTCCCGGTCCTTAGTTGCCGGTGTGCTACCCCAGAGACCACGCTGGGAAACGGTTCTTTGAGGCAGGTTGGACAACGTGGCTGAATCCTCAGGCTTCAACGCGGAACCGATTATCTGACCTGGACCGACGGCATCAGAAGAAGTTGATCTCCGGTCGCCAAAGTTGGGTAAAATATCGTCGGCAGATTCGGGTATAACAGAGGCCGAGCCCCATAGACCGGTGGAGCCCTTGGGCGCTGTAGAGGGGCGCAAGAGGGACCAAGAACGTGACCCAACACCCGAATTGGGGGATGGACCAATCATGAATTGTCCCTGAGAAAGCGAGGGACGCATAGCAGGTCGATGACGATACGCGGAGATCGAGTGAGTGACCGGACCGTTAGGTGACGGCAAGCTGGAGGTGGATAGGATTGGGTTCGGGGCAGGACGCAGATGATCGGTCGAGGCCACAAGTCGTAAGCTGTAATATTTCGTGGCTGGAGTCTTTTCCGCCGTTCCAGGAGACAAAAATTGCTCCCGAGAAGTGACTGCCTCGGCTTGTTCGTCCGCATTGTCCTTGCGGACAGACAGGGTAAGAGATGCTGTTTGGAAATCCAACAGCACAGGCTCTCCAGTCAGCGCCCCAACTAGGGCATTACATCCCGCCCCGTGAGTAATCACGATGAGAATGAGGTCGGTCGCATCATCCTCATCAGCTGGCTGGTGTAGATCCCCGTGAATTCCAGGTTGCTGAGAATGTCGCCGCGGTCGGCCAGTCCCGGCACCTTGATCGGTGTCGCGGTACCAGGAGAGCATTCGCTCAAAGCCAGCACGGAAGCGCGAATGCATGGCACTCCACTCTTCGCCGTACTCCCCTCCACTGCCCCAGTTCTGGGGCTCCCGCATGCTGTCCCACTGGTAGTCAATCTTCACACAGGCGTTGCGCGCGTGCGTAACATATCCTACGGGGATCGGGTCGGAGGGCGAGATGGCGTAACTTGGAGTGGGAGGCATGTATGCGCCGTCTGGAATTGGTGGAAGATCGGTGTTGACTTTGCTGAGGATTCTTCTCGCGTGGGGTGTTTCGGCGGACTTGAGACTGTCGTAGCTCCCTGCACGGGTGCGTTGTCCCGGAGCATGGGTGACACCCGAGGAAGGGCCAACACTGTTTACGGTTCCATCCCCGCGACTGGTGTCAGAGTTTGTGAAACCACCCCAGCCCCCAGGGAAGTTGCCTGTAGTCGGCTTGGTGGCTGTGTCCGCTTCGGGAACGACGTCGTCCCCGCGCCGAAGTAATTCGGCTTTGGCAGCAGCGACGAGCCTCTCCGACTTGGGGGGAGGCGTGATCTGGTCAAAGTAGTCTGGGGTCAGCCACTCCCCGAGAAATGCGTCCACGCGCAGAAGACACCGATGATCCTGGGGAGTAGACATCGGAGGGGCCGGTGTGAGGGGACTCGAGATAGACTCTCTGCACGAGTCTGCAGCTGATCCCATAGAATATCCATTGGCCTGAGTGGAGTTGGAAGCGACTGCGGGGTGAACAACCTCGCTGTCCGTGTAGTGTTGGCTGATCCCCGAGCTGACAGCGATGGCGGTCTGCACGCAACGAAGAAAGGGAGAAGTATGGATGATGAATCTGCGCTTCTTTTTGGGATTCGGGAGCGATGACGGGAATTTCGGCTCGTCGGATGGTACGACGGACGAAACAGGGGGATGGTCGTCGAACGATTGCAGTAGGTTTATGATTCGAGCTCCGAGCGCGCGGGACTGGAGCCATCCGCCATAGGAAAGGGGAGGGTCATAGGGAGTCGGAGAGGTGAGATGCCAATTTTTGTCGGCCGCATCTAGTCGAGCGCCATGCCTGGAGGTCAGGCTGTCAGCCGATGGTTGCTACATCAGAAGCTCATGCATTTCCACCATACCTGGCTATAACGACGGCCGCGGGGAGTTTCCCCATGGCAGGCAAGATGTCTCACCGAACTTGAAT